CCAGTCTTCTTTGGGATTATGGGATTTAGGGCTCTGTTTTTTTGTGCTGAGGTCCAGGAGATTTTTTTGTTGTTGTTGTTGTTTTACTTTGTGTTTTGAAATCATACCACAGTCTTTGTGGTTAAAACCTCAACATATTAATTTCAGGCCATACAATTCAACATAACAAATAGAGTACTTGTAAAAAAAAAAAAAAAAAAAAAAAAAAAAACCAGTCATGGTGGTTGTGATAGCTTGAATATACTTGGCCCCCACAATCTCACAGGGAGTGGCACTATTAGATATGGCTTTGTTGGAGTGGGGGTGGCCTTGTTCTTCCAGTGGGTGCAGGTGGTGTCTCTTCCTCTCCTGGTGTGTATGGGCCCAAGGTTCTCTTCCGGTGAGTGAAAGAGGGTCCAATACTCTGGTAAGTCTCAAGGTGGGTGCAGGCACTCACTCTACAGGTGGGTGGTGGCGGGACTAGCACAGAGCTGTCAGCAGACTCTGGGTTGCTGTGGGTCCCTGTATACCAGAACGACTAGATAATCTCCACACATGCTGGTCAAAGCTAGAGACTCCACAGAAACCTCAAACCTTACAAATTCGAGGAATATCCCAGAATTTTCAAATATTCCTGAAACCTTTGAGCCCACCAGAGAAGACACAGCAATGAGATGCCATTTGTCTGACCCATTTGTCAGAAAGTCGTCTGACCAGTCTCAGACCTCTGAGTTCACGAAGTCATACACAAACCAGAGAAGTCTTTCACATGCAGCACATGTAGAAGATGAGGAAGGTCCTTCAGCCACAAAACCAACCTGAAGGCTCATGAGAGGATTCACATAGTAGAGAAGCCCTGCAACTGCTCCCTGTAACCATAGCTTCTTCCAGTCATCCACATACCACCGGCACAGGAGGAATTGTCACAAATCAGACTGAACTGTGTCCCTTCCTCAGCAGAGGTTAGCTGTGTTACAGCCTCAGTGTCTTATCTACACATGAAGAAGCATGTAGCGTTTAACTAACATT